TTTTTTTTTTTTTTCCAGTGCTATTTCTTCACAATCGAGTTTGGCCTTTGTAAGCAAGAAGGTCAACTGCGGGCATATGGAGCAGGGCTGCTTTCCTCCATTGGAGAATTGAAGGTATAAAGCTGTGAATGACAACATCCTTCCCAAGCAAACTGGTTCAAGGTCATGGAAGATATTGATTTGTTTGTCTGAGCATTTTTACTCACAGCTCCCCATACATATTTAACACAGAGGATCTGGCACCTCAGATGTGGGTGCTGACCTAACTTTTTGCACCTCAGAAAATGGGTCATGCCGTTCTGGGCTTGTGGTGTGACTCAGATGGATGGGCAGCCCTGTGCCCAAATCAACAGGAATGACAAATGCTGGGAAACAAAGGGCTGGCCTCAATTTAACGCTGAAGAGTGGGCAGTGAGTTGACAGGGATGCTCCTGACTGACAACTGCTTGTGAGCCTGCCTGGCCGTGCTTCTCTGGTCTCTGTCTCCTCCATGGCTCTGTGGTCTCCCCAGCTTCTACCCCTCAAAGAGGAGTAGGAGATTATTCCATCTTTTCCAGAATTAATGTATATCAAAATACTTGTGCATCAGCCAGGCGTTGCTGGCGCACATCTTTAATCCCAGCACTTGAGAGGCAGAGGCCAGCCTGGTGTACAGAGTGAGTTCCAGGACAGTCGGGGCTGCAAAGAAAAACCTTGTCTCAGAAAAAAAAAAAAAAAAAAAAAAAAAAAAAAAAAAAAAAAAAAAAAAAAGAAAGAAAAAAAATCTAAAACTAAAAAATAAACAACAACAAGCTTGTGCATACTAATAGTTTAAAAGAAAACAACCTGAAGAAGCATAGTGCCAAGGAGGCATGTTATATGTATTAGTGATGCTTAGAAGTTATTTTTTTTTCTTAAATAGTAAAATGATTATTTCTTTGGAAATAGTGGGCTCTGGAACATTCTGATAATTTTAACATCCTAGTAAGTTTTGATGCCTTTAGAAGGCAATAAGATGTACAATCTGGAAATCATACTGAAAACAACTTAATCTTTCTTTGATTATTCAGACTAAGATCAGGATTATAGACTAGCTTAGGGTGTTCTCTTCAGCATTGATTGCTGTTGTATAATACCACTGGGAAATGCGTTGTTACTAGAATGCTTTGCTTATTTATATTCTCGAAAGATGCGATCTCACTGCAGTTTTATCGAGTCTGCTGGTTTTATAACTTCATTAATTAGATAATTTATTCATTCCTAAAAACTTTGGCTTACAATGAGGCATGCGCTATGCTAGATACTGGGACTCAAAAGACAGAGGATGATGAAGAACATGAATCTAAAGAAAATAACACCAGAAGCTATCAAAGTCTTAAATAGAGCTTGGGATTTTGGTACACTTTACCTAAGTCCCTGTAAGAACTGGACATCTTTATTGTTAGAGAACACAGAGCCATTTACAGGGCTTGCTTAAACTACACAGCTGATGTGCTAGAGCCAGGCCCAAATGCAGGCAGTGAAGCCCGTAGTATCAGTGCTCTAAATTTAACAGCCCGAGGCTCTTAGTATCCAGCACTTGACATCTAGGGCCGGATAAACAGCTAAGTAGATAATAGAAAAAGTGTGATAACTGTGTCTAGCACATCCTAGGCCATGCTTGAGAAGGCTTTCTGAAGAAGATCCTGCTGCTTGCTGTGAGGCTTGAGGAACTGGAAGGTGGATTAGGAAAGAAGAGGATGTGCAGATGAGCAATGGACCAAGGGAAGGATTAACACTGGGCTTCAGTCAAAGCCATGAACATATGGGGAACTAACTAAGGTTGGGTGTGGCTAGAGTAAAGGTTAAAATAAAAAAAAGAAAACAGTATAATGTGATAAACATTTACAAGTGTTTTCCATTGTGTGTGTGTGTATACATTCCACAGCACATGTCTGGGCAGAAAGTAACTTTGTGAAATCAGTTCTTTTCTTCTACCATGTGGTTCTGAGGATTAAACTCAGGTTGGCAGGTACACACAGCAAGGCCCTGTATTGGCTGAGCCATTTTGCTGGCTCTTAAAAAAAAAAAGTGAATGATAATACATTTAGTGTTAATCTTAGTGCAGTGGCCAAAGCCTACCCCAGTAATATGACATGGTACCTTATAAGACCATGCCCTCAAAGAGTGCTTTTTGCTTCCCCTGAGAAAGAAAACAAAAGTTCTGAGCTACCTCTATTTACATTCTCTTCAGATGGTTTATAAATTATTCTGGAAACAAAAGAAACAAATCTCTTTGATGGCCCCCAACTTTTGACAGGGTCTCCTGGTCTGGTTAATGAGGCATGTGTAGGCAGCACTGGGGTGAATCTGTTGTTTTTGTTTTTACGGGTGTGGACAGAATTATCTGGAAATGGAAATCAGCTAGAGATATGTACAGCAAAGGGCATTGTCTGCCGTGCGTCTTCCTGTTCAGGTCCATCACCTCTGGTCATTAGCATTCTTCCATCTACAGATTTCAACACTCCAGCATCCTCATGATTGCTGTTTTGGACCATTTTTACAATTTAGATGTTCTTTTTCACAAGAAATACCTTCTAACTGTTCACAGAGAATGCAGAACGCTGGCATTTATCCTTAGCAACCCCTCTCTCCCTGTCTGCCTTGTTCCTCTAAGTGCCCAGAACATTTCACAGCTCATTTAAATGCTTAAACAGTTATGTTTGTGTGTGTTTCTGTGTGTGTGTGTGTGTGTGTGTGTGTGTGTGTGTGTGTATGCATATGCCCATGAGTGCAGGTGCCCACAGAAGCCGGAGATGGTGTCAGACTCCCTGGTGGGTGTCAGCTGCCCTTCCATCCTCTGAAAGAGCAGCAAGCACTCCTAGATACTGAGCTGTCTTCCCGGTGCCCTGAGCATCTTGTTATTTTTTAGTTGAAGAAAGATACTATGGCCTTGGACACAATGTAGTGATAGCTTTATTAATAGCACCATCATAATTCTTTTGTAAATATCCTTACAATTTTGAACGAAGTTATCTATTACACTAATGTGTTTTCCAACTGATGCCCTAATGTAGGCCCCTAAGTTGCTGGAGGCTTTGGTATAGTCTTTATAACTTTTATCTAAGTAGCCACAATTCACCTTTCCTCTTGGAACATAAAACTTCTAAGATTTGTACTGCAATTTTCTTGAGGGCAAAGATGTTGCTCTTCAGAGCCAGCCAAGTGTTTCCAAGAGCAGTATCTGTGGTTTGAAGGAGGACTTTCATTTTTTTCTTCATTAAAAAAAAGCACTTGACTTTATTTCCAGAGACAGAAATAAAGCAAATATGGGAAAGCTTATGAAAGCTAGCATGAATTGGATTAAAAACTTCCCCACCGTGATGGTTGGCATACTGGTAGGAACTCCAAAAGCCTGTGAAGGTGGGGCTTTTCTATACATCCCACGATTGCAGGGAACAGCTACCCATAAGTCCCCCAGAAAGTCAACTTTGAAAAGCAGATTAAAATTAGGGTAACTGGTGGACTGGTGGCTGTTTACCCTCGTCTGGCATGCATCTTTTATGTCATTTTTTTCTCCCCAGTCTATGGTTGATTTAACAGTATGATTCTTATTTTTCACTCATTCATTCATTTTTTTCAACAAGCCCCAAATTGATGATCCAAGTAGTAAGAAACAGAGTCTTGTAGGTGGGTCCCGAGAAAGGGATTGTTATGTTAGAGAACCAACAGTGACGGTTGTTCACTTTGGGAGGGGTATTACCTAGTTTTCCCAGTCACCTGACTAAAGCATCGTACGGAAGGAAAGGTTTCACTTGGCTCACAGTTTAAGGGGAAGCAGTTCGTCATCTGGGGAAGGCAGAAGTGGCTGGTAACTGGTGGAGGCAGACGGTGATGTGCCTTGCTCACACTTCCCCAGCTGATCCAGAGGCAAGAACAGTGCTGGGCTACAACCCTCAACACCACTACCCAGTGTTTCACTTCCTCCATCTAGGCTCTACTTCCCGAAAGCTCCTCACCTTCCCAAACAGTGCTACTACTGGAAACCAAGTGTTGAAACTCACGAGCCTATGGAGGCACATTGCACATTCAAACTTTGATAGGTGGCAAGGAAATGATTGCTAATGATGAAGTGTGAGTCTTGCCTTAAAAAAAATCTAAATCAAAGGCAAAAGAGGCTGTTTCTACTCTCTCTCTCTTTTTTTAATGGAAAGGGTATATTCTAGTTCTTTATTCCCTTCGGGGCAAAGATTAGGCGGCCTTAACTCCTACTCTACAGTAGTTGTAGAGTATTCCATGTGAACATGTCTCTTTTTTTTGTTTCAGGTTTAAGGAAATTTGACTACCTCTTTTTGGCATTCGTTTTAGGATGTTCTTGCATGGTGAATTATTGTTTTACCTTTATATAGCTATTAATCAGCATTTTCCAAACAACTTTCTACTCATTATGGTCATTTGTATTTACTGCCACTTCTGGCAATGCTGGGAGGTGGACAGAATTACTGCCAGGCTGTGGAGAAAAGCCTCGAGGCCATTGCATGTTTTCTGAGGTTACCTGGAAGGTCAGTGTTGCTAGCACACTTAAGGACTCAGCTGCTGAGCTCCCCACCTTTCTGGGCTGGGGTGGCTCCGGCCTCGATTCTAGTTTCCTCCCATTATTCAAGGGGGAACTGTTGGTGATGGCAGAGCAAATGCTCAAGGACTGAGGGGGTAGAAATTCCTGAGTTGTGTCCGCTGAAGAGGGAGGCTGCCCCTTGACCATGCAGCCAATTCAAACCAAGAAAGCCTAGCATCACTGAGGAAAATTAAGTGTGATGAACCATTGCTGGCCTTGGCAATAAGGACATTGACCCAATATAGGCCTGGCTTTAATTAATGTCATTATCATAAAACCTATGTAAACATCCTTGCAGAGTCGAATGAAGTTATTTATCACACTGAAATATTTTATACTGTCGCGACCGTTGACTTGATGTTGGTCCCCAGTTGCTGGAGACTTCAGCATCCACAATTCATATGGTGTCTGGTTAGAATGGTAAATATGTAAATGAGGTTCAAAAACATATTACCTATATGCAGGCATAGTGCATGTAGACATAATCAAATCTGCCTATTTGTTGTTGTTCTGATAAGGGAAAAATGACTGTGGTGTAAACACAGGAGTGTTTACACTCTGGTCTGAACATGGGAGTCTTTGCAAAACTTTATTGGAATCTAGGATCCAAACTACCTATTAATCTGATTACACACTTGAGGTTTTTTGTTTTTGTTTTTGTTTTTTTTTTTTTTTCAAAATTTAATCAGTCCTAACATAGAGAGTGAGGATCACAGGGTTTACATCTCAAAAAGCTGGGTGACTACCTGTGTGTCACTGTAGAAACGTATGTCTGAGAGGCAGGAAGATGTCAAGCTGATAAACCAGTGCAGCCACTATTGCAGTCTCATACCTGGGACCATTCTTTCCCTACAGGCCCTAGACTCCTGGGGGAGAGGGAGGGGATGTTTACTGAATAGCACATGTGGATACTAGTAATCCTCTCTGGAATGAATTAGAAACGAAAACTAAATATGTGGAGGATTTCCCATTCTGTCCATTTACACACTTCGCTCACTTAATTCTGACCACACCCTTGGCTTATTGGATCCATTAGCCCCCTCAAATTGTATAGGGAGGAATGGAACCCAATTTAAACTCCGAGATTAAGACGTGCACTCTGAGTGATTTTATATTTTTTACCTTCCAGGAACTGGACATTTTTTGATGTCAAAAAGATATTTATAAGGGCTAGAATGGAAAATAAGCCTTGATTTATTTACTAAAGCCGATTAATTAGTGCTTGGAAATCATGTGGGGAGGGGTGACGAGGCTATCATCAGGACTGGCAGGAAAGGCTGCTCTGATCAGTTTACACCAGCAGCATGGAGGGTGCCATGTATTTATGTGCCTTGTTAAAACTATATGGCAAAAACTATGATTTTCTCAGCTCTTGTCTTCTTGAATGAAAGAATTCAGTTGAGAAACAGCCAGATCAAGCAGTTTATTTCACAAAGCAAAGTGTAGATATTCCAAAGGGAGATTGGAACAGGAGACCTCAAAGGGAGAAACTGAAGGGGGAGTTATGAATTGATTTCTTCAGAAACCTTGATGAATATTTATTTATCTCCTTTAATGTGTTTTCTTCTCATGATCTTGAAAAGACTGTAGGTGGGTGGGGTGGTTTCTAAACCGTGATGCAAATGACATTATGTGGAAGCCAGGATACTCTTTGTGTATCTTAATACAGGATACTCTTAACGACAACTGGGCAGGTTTTCTGGGCGCTTTAGTTTCTGAGAGAGCAAGAAGAGCCTAACTGCAGCTTCAAAGATGCTCAAATCACAGAGGGGCATTTGGGCCGTCATGAAGCACAGCTTCCAAGAGCCAGCTGCTATTTCCCCAGGTCACTTCATAGCTAACTCTGTGCCTGTCCAGCCTCAATATGTCTAGATTTTGAGACAGCCACAGTGAGAAGCCAGGAGTGCTGGTTCCTGTTGTATATTCTGGTCTTTAGCACTGCAGGGAAAACCAAAAATGGTTCTTTCAGTTGCTCTCAACTTATGGGTCATGATGGTTTTGAGGGGTCAAATGATCCTCTCATAAGGGTTGCATATCAAGTATCCTGCAGGTCATTTATTTACATTACGATTTGTAACAGTAGCAACATTGTAATTATGAAGTGGCAATGAAAATAAGTTTATGGTTGGGGTCACCACAACACAAGGGACCATGTATTAAAGAGTTTCAGCATTAGGAAGTTTGACAGCCACTGTTACTGGGTGTTCAGATAGGAGGAGATGACTCTTAAATATTCTTGCACATTTGCAATGGCTTGAGCTTTATAAAGCTTCTCTCTAAAAAACCACATAAATTCTTGAAGACTCTAGGACTTAATATGGTTAACACTTCAGAGGGAATTCACCACAAAGTAGACCAAGTTCATAGAGACTTCTTTGTTAACATACAGGGGAGAGCTTAACATACAGGAGAGAATAGTAGCTGCTTCCCTCAAGGTGGGGTGCCTTACAAGAATAAAGATAGACTCAAGAAACCTAATTGGTCAGTGGCTTTTTTTTTTTATCAGAAGAAAGATGCTATTTTACATCTTTTGGAATATATGGGGGCACTCAGAGATGGAGAGCTCATGGGTAGCATGGTTGTTACTGCCAGTCACCACAGAGGCAAGCTGGTTGCTAGGTAGATAAAGTCTATTTACAGGCATGGGTATCTCATTCACAGGATATTCCCTTAACTTCAGAGTCTTATTGTTTTTCAGTATAGCACTTGGCTATTGTTAGTGTCCCCACGTTCATTACCAGATAAAAGGTAGCCCCTGCTTTTCACAGAGGGTAGAGAGGCCTCTGTGAATCAGAATATTATATACAGTTCCTGAGACTAAATCAAAGTTTTAAGCTCTTAAAACAGTAAACTTCTTGCTGGGTATGTGTGATGCTTTCCTGTAATCTCCACACTTGGGAAGCTTAGACAGGAAGAAGGTACTGGTCAGCCTGGGCTACATAATGAAACTTCTCTTAACCACCCACCCACCCATCTAAACAACCAACCAACCAACCAACCACCCACCCAACTAAACAACCAACAACCCACCCACCCAACCAGCCACCCACCCAACTAAGCAACCAACCAAACAGCCACCCAACCAACCAACCAACCTACCAACCAACCAACCAACCAACCATCACCCAACCAACCAACCAACCAACCAAACAAACAACATAATTCAGTCCACTTCCAAATTTCACTTAAGTATTATATTGGCCAAGTGCCATATGTATAACCTAATGGTCTTTGCCTTAAACTATAAGCTATGTACTCAATGGGTTTTTCCCCTTGAAGTCTAAAGGCAGGTCACCCTGAGGATTTTCTTGATCTACTCTAATCCTCTTTTCCTGCTGAAATGAATGAATGTAGACATCTGGAGAGTCAGTGAAATAGCCACATGATGAATGGTTCAGAATCTACACTGTTTTCAATCGTTGTTGAGTACCTGCACTCTGCAAATGCCCTGCACACACTGACTGTTGTTAAAGTATTCTTAGAGGCATTGGAGACTGATGAGTTTCATTGATGAGTTTCATTTCCTTTTGTGCTTGTCCTCAACTCTGTGAAAAGTGTTTGGCTCAGCAGAGATGTCCCAAGGATCCCTCCCTTAATTGCCTTTGCTGCTACCATTCTGCCTTTGCCTCCCAGTGCAGGGAAGAGAGTAGAAAGACTGAGGACACTGAGTCAGTCAGTGTCCTTCCTTCAATGTGTACCCATGGATGAATGGACAATTTGAGTAACACACGTCAGTTAAATGTAATCATAGTGTGGCTGCAAAGAAAGCAACTTCTAATTCTGAAAACCACAGCAAGCCATCAGGAAGCCAGTTCTTTGCAAAGGGGCAATAACTCTCATCAAAAGACATTTTATTTTGTAAAACTGTAAGGTTGTTTGGAAAATGTGGACAGGATTTATTAGCTATGTGGAACCAAACTCCCTTGATGTTCTGTGTGCTACGCAGAGTCCTGCAAAAGTGCATTTGTAGTTGTAATGACCTTCTGCTTCGGAATGAAGTTGTTCTGCAGGCCAGAAAAAGAATGAGTTCACTCTGAAGGTCCTCTGCATTCCATGATTCATATATGCATTGATCTGGACAACAGAATTTTGTGGAAAACAAATTACAAGCCCTTTGTCCCCTTCCGTTCATGTCAGTATGGCTTCTGAATTGCATTTCCAAACACAGAAAACCACAGCCTTCCTCACCACGGGCTGTAAATAATCATGTGCACTTTGAAATTGTTGGAGGGAATGCACCATGAATGTTGATTGGGGGCATTGGCTTGCACATTTTCAAGAGATTCTCAACATTTGGTTGAGAACGGCAAAGAGGCAGAGAAATGATCTGGATGGGATCTAAAAGCTGCATTTGATAGCATCTTTAGAACCAGTCAGCCTAAATGTCTTCCTTAAGGGAGTGGACAAATACATACATCAGCATCTACAGCCTCTGCTTTCTAATACTCAGCTCAGTGCAATTTTCTGCTATCCCCCTTCTTCTTTTCTACCAATAGGACTACCTCTTCAATCAAAAGCAGAATGTGCAGGAGGATAGTTCAAAAACACTTATGTCAGAGCCACCTTGGTTGTCTTTAAAATACTCATTTCTGGATTTCATCTAGGCTTACTATAGAGATTGAAGGCCTGGGTATCTGTGCTTTCATATACACCTCAGTGATGCTTCTGTACATCATGTTTTAGAATTATCCATTGAGAGTCTAGAAATGGGCAGGTGGCATGTCATAAGAAATGACCATTAATTTTTAACATCTCTGAATTTATCTTGAAGATGTAGTCATTCAGGATTCCTTGCTGTTCCTAGAGCCAGGCATGTGGTGAGCTAAATGGAGCCAATGATGGCTCAAAGAGTAATTATACTAGCTTTCCTATTTTTCTAATGCCTGCTTTGGGTTTAAGTATAACTATTAATATTGGTTCTTTGCCCCCCAACTGGCAATATTTATTTGCTGTGTATGGCTCTGCTGTACTTTGTGAAAAGTAAATGAGTGCTTTGCAAGCACCCTCCAATATACAGGTCCACTCCATTCTCTGTTGATACACAGTACATGGCCTCAAAATGTCTCCCAATGAGTCCACAAATAGTTCAGCGAGAGTCTCAATTACCTCTCCACGCAAGTAATTATTACTTCTGCCATTTAAGTGAAATTTCAGTACATTGCTTATAGAAACAAATTTAAGAGCATATTTCTGCTGTACCTGCTTCTATTCATAGTATAGATTTAAAATTCCATTTGTGTCAGGGGATAGCACTAAACTGTCCTTCAGTGTGAATTTGGCTCATATTATACAAAATAATAAGATGAGCTCATTTTCTCCCTCAACTTCTCTAAGAGATTTAAAAAAGCAAACAAACAAAACTCTTCCCTAACACGCCATTTGCCTGCCACAGGGAAGCTTCTGTGTTCCATGGTAGACTAGTCAGTGAACACTTCTGTGGATTACTGAGCTAGGAAGTGTGATACCATGGTACTTTGGAAGCCTCATTCTGGTCTTGAATGGGTTCTATGGTATGTTTTGCAGCATGCTCTTTCTGACAAGGCGTGTGTAAAAGCCTTTGACCCAAAGACAACCTGCTTGCAGGAATGCTTAATTACCACCTTCCAGGACGCTTACTTTGTCTCAGAAAGTTTTGAAGAAGCCAAGGAAAAGATGAGGTAAACATGGTTTTCTTCCTTTTACAGAAAGTAACTTAAATTCCTTTGGTTATTCCTTCTATTTGTCTGTTTCTTGTATCAGTGGTGGTTGATTGTGTATCCTTCTGTTCTTGTTTATTCTACAGGGACTTTGCAAAGTCAATTACTCGTCCCTTCTCAGTATATTTCAACCCCTACACACAGAGTATTGAAATTCTGAAAGACACCAGAAGTATTGAAAATGTGGTGCAGGACCTGCGCAATGATTTGAACACAGTGTGTGATGCCCTGAATAAAATGAACCAATATCTGGGGATTTGATATCTAGAACCAGTGTTGTTGTCAGCATGAGCTTTTGGGGGCTTAGCAACAATTCAGTCAATGTTATCCAACATCAATAACTTTCCGTGTTATGGTTGGCTACTTAGCGTGCAATTCTGTGTGTCTACAGCGCTGTGCAACTTATGGTGTTAATATACAAAAATACTAAGAAATCCATGCAGATTACCATTCATCATTTGAAAGATTATGATATATTTAAATGTCTCAAATAGATTTAGCATTTCCGATTAGTGATCAAACTGCAACTTAAGCAAACTGTGTCTTTAAAATTTGTAACATTCTTCTCACAATTTTAGTTGGTGACCTTTTCTTCTTTGGACCTGAGACTTCCTTTGTGTTCATTAGATAAAATAAAAATAGTAGGGAGGTAGTTTTTATTTGCAGTAGTATCAGTGTTATTTGAGATAAACTAGAGTTGCTCCAAGCTTCTCATCACAGCCACAAAAGATTTAATATTCTATGTCAGAAGCTGTTCATAAACAAGATGGTTGGAATGATTTTGGACTGAGTATTCATACAATGTAAGAAAAGAAAACTTTTAATGAATGGGATATATGGGTTGCACTGACCTTGTTGGAACTGATTTGTGGCAAGCTTCCTGAGGGTTTTGGAAGGAAACACTCTGAGAAAGAATATTCATTCGGACAGCTTAAAGAGAAGGAAAGAAAATCTTGTAACTGTAAGTGTGTTGTTGGGATAAAGGCTGAATTTCATGTTAGACTTCTGACAAGTCCACCATAGTGTACATATGTGTTCATGTGTTGACACAGAACAAAATTAATGTGTATGAAACCAATGCTTATCAATAAACAGAATCTTGCCTCCAACAGGATCTTTATTATTTCACCTCACAGCTCCTACACAGGCTCTATCCCTGGCGAGTGGTCTATTTCTCAAACTCTGGGCAGCTCTGGGTGAACAATAGTCATTTGCCACAAATGTCTGGTGGTCCTTGCTATAAAAGATAAAACAAAACAAAACAAAACAAAAAACCCAAGTGTCTAAGTGAACAAATGAAAAACTGTCAAATTAATTAATTTAATCTTTTGATGGGTTCCTTAACCAAACAGTCCTCCTGATTCTGCTTATTTTGGGAAATGGTACACAGATTAGATGGAGTGGAAGAGGATAGGAAGTATAGAAGAAAGAGATTGAGACATGACTTTTTTTTTTTTTTTTGAGACGGGGTTTCTCTGTGTAACCTTGGCTGCCCTGAACTTGCTTTGTAGAGCAGGCTGGCCTCAAATTCACAGCAGTCCGCCTGTTTCTGCCTCCCTGAATGCTGGGATTATAGGTGTACACTACCATGCCTGGTGGAGACTTAAAAGTTAGTGTATTAGTTACTTTTCTATTATTGCGATAAAACACTGTGACCAACGAAACTTGTAAAAGAAAGTGTTAGATTGGGGTTGTTCTCCCAGAGTGTTAAATGATGATGGAACAAAGGAATGGTGGCAGGAGCAGCTGAGAGCTCACGTCTCAAACCATAAGCAGGAGGCAGAGAATGCTGTGAGTCTTTTGCACAAAGCCTGCTCCCCAGTGACACACCTCCTCCCACAAGGCAAAATCTCTTAATTTTTCTCAAACAGTTCCATCAACTACAAACCAAGTATTAAAACAGATGAGTCTATGAGGGCCATTCACATCTAAATCACCTCATTGCCCTCCTTGGCCCTCATACACTTGTGGCCATTTCATAACTCGTTTAATCCAAATTCAAAAGGTCCCATAGTCTTTTAGTATCAATACTGTTCAAAAATCCAAAAGTCTAAGGACTCTTCTGAGATCAAGGCAATCTCTTAATTGCTACCCGCTGTAAAATCATAAAGCAAATTACAAACTTCTGACATACAATCTCACAAAATATATATTATCATTCCAAAAAGGAATCTTCTTGAGCTGGGCCTACACAGTCCACATAACTCTCGGCACTACCATCTTCCAAGTTCCTCCTACGGTGGACAATTAAGCTCTACTTACATCAGTTAACAGCTTTTCTAGTCCAAAGTTTCAAAGCCTTTTACATTCCTCCAAACACCTCCCCCCCAAACAAAAAAACAAACAAACAAACAAACAAACAAACAAACAAACAAGAACAAACCAACCATGGTCAACCCTGTCAATACCTTACTCCTGGTACCAATTTCTATATTAGTTGCTTTTCTGTGCTGTGTAAAAACATGACCAAGGCAGCTTATATAATAGGTTGCCTAATTGAGTTGAACAGCTGAGAGCTCACATCTTAAACTAAAAGCAGGAGGCATAGAGTACAGTAGGAATAGAGGAGGTGTCTGAAGCTTCAAAGTTGCCCCTATGGCATATCTCCTCCAACAAGGGCATACTTGCCTCCCAAACAGTTCCACCAGCTGGGAACGAAGTATTCAAACATATGAACCTTTGGGGGCCATCCTCATTCAAGCCAACACAGTTAGAAACCTGCTTGGGTTGGAGCCTTGAGCAATTTATAAGGGTGTCCTTTTAATAATACATAACATACAATTTAAAATAAATTAAGGTTCGTATATGGGCTTATTATTGGTCATATAACTTAGGTCTCAACATTTGGAAAGGAAACATGTAAGAAAGTTCAAATACATACCAGTGAGAAGTCAAACCAAGGGTTGGAAAGCATATCTCTTAGCGTATTGGTAGAGTACTTGTTTAGCAAGTGTGAAGGCTTAAGTTCGGTTTACGGCACCACAAAAAACCAGGGCAAAATAAACATGCCAAAGACCAACAACTTAAAACTCCCACAACTTAACAAACAAAGCACAAAGAATGAAAATTTGCAGAAGCTTGAACACTGCTTTCCTAACTATAGAAAACCCATCCTTTTGGAAGTATCCTTGGAACATCTAAGTTCTTATGAAGACATTTGGTCTACAGAATGTGAGGATCCCGCAGCTTGTTTGCTACTCTAGGTGAAGACAAAAGTGTCTTGAAAAGTTATTGGTGTCTGAGAAAGGATGAGCAGAGACATAAGATACTAAGTCAAAAAAGCCCTAGAACAAGCAAGCAGCTGTAGATTTTTATTTATTTATTTTTTATTTTTATGTTTTTTTGAATTTTATTTTTTTCTTATCAGTTACATTTTATTAACTCTGTATCCCAGCCGTGTCCCGATCCCTCATTCCCTTCCAGTCCCTCCCTCCCTCTCTCATCTCCACTGTGCCCCTTGCCAAGTCCACTGATAGGGGGGACCTCCTCCCCATTCATCTGAGCAGCTGTAGATTTTAATAGTTTTATAGAACCCTTAGTACACTTTCTCACACCTTATTTTGCTAGATCTAAATGACCCTGAATATTTCCCGATAAATAATAATCCAGGATAATCTCGAACAATAAATTCTAAAATGTTTAGAGTAAGTTGCTGAATTATCTTGGAGGAGAAAATTGGCTGAGAAGTTCTAAATGTCTGCCATCCTGCTGTTTCTGTGATTGAGTACAGCTTCAGACACAAGCTTCGAAGTGTGTAGCATTATTCTTTTGGATTAAAACCAAACAGACAAATAGCTGTAAGTAGCCGGTGGGTGAACTGTTTGCTTGCAGCTCGGTGAAAGGACAACGTCTTAGTCAAATGTACTTGAAGGATAATTATATTTAATTGTAAACAAGTCCCCTAGACAAAAATAACATTTGAGGTGTCTTCTGCTTGGCTGATTGTGAAATCTTCAGTTTTCTTCCACGTGCAAGAATCTATTCTGTTTCCAAAATAGAAAAGCTGCAAAATAAACAGGCTTTCCCACAGAGCTTACATAGGTACCGCGCGAGGAGGAGAACCTAAATGATGCTTTTTTAGGTTTGTTCTCTATTCAGAATAGCAGCAATCATGGTTTTCACACTGTGAAACAATGGAGTTATGGTTTCCATTTGTTGGGAGCATTTAACATGTAAATGCCATTACAGCTAATGGTGGGAAAAATCCTATAAAATTTAATAGCCATTATAGGAAAAGTGTTGGCTGAAAAAGTCCTCTGGTGGAAAGAGTGCAACAAAATGATCCTGGGCAGGCTCTGTCATGTCTGATACCTGCTTTGGGCAGCAATCTGTCTCAATTATGTCTTGTGACTTTAAGCTAAATTAAGTAGATCCAAGGGCAATTATAAATTTAAAGACACTGCTCACTGTCATCTCATAGTGAGTCATCACTTCATTTTGGCATTGCCTCTGACTTCTATAATCAGCCAACCAGAAATCAACGGATGTGTCACAGCAAAATCAAGTTTCTTATGCATTACTATCTGTGAGAGATAGACAAAAAAATATGATTAGCACAGGTTTAATTTTGAACATTTTTGTATGTTATGAGACAGGTAGGGGATCTAGTGTATTCCTGAATAATCTATTTATTTGAACCAGTAAAAACACAATGGAATATGTAAATAAACTCACCTTTTAAAAGTAGGAAAGTTTGACTAGCGTTTTAGTATTTTTTTTTAACATATTAGGGGAAGTTTTGTGAGGTGGGTGTGTGTTAAGCTCAGTTTTATTTGTTTTCTGTATAATTTTGAAATAATGCTTTAGACGGACTCTATATCCATGCTTGTCTTACTTGCACAATAGTAAATGGGCCTGATCCTAATAAATGTAAAATATTGAAACATTTACCCACATAAAGAGTCTAAAATGAAAAAAAAAAGTGTGCTTTAATGTAGAAACAAATAGAAATACGAGGTTTCATTTTCAAATGGAGTCATGGCTCACATCATCTCATTTTCTTCATTCGAGGAAGAAAACATTAACACAAGATGCAGTTGTCCTCCAATTCATTTGATCTAATTTTCAAGTTCTAAGGCGTGGAGCACTGACACTTACTCTCATGAACCCTGTCTGATTTATAATGAAAAAGAAAGCAGCCTAGGGTTTTCTGGTATGATTCAATTTTTTTTTCTCTTTTCTTGTTCAATTTCAAAGACAGTGTCTTAGTTTGAAAAATGATCCTTATGTAGATTGCCATATTGTGGGAAAAGACAAGAGAATTAACACTGGGATGCTGCTAGTCAACATTAGGGTTGTGTATTTCAAAATAACTGGTGAAACCTGAACTGGTGATTTTTAAAATACTATTTAGTATCTCAAAACAGTTTTTTTTCCCCCATTGGCTTAGAACATACCAGCATGTATTTTGGGACATGAGGATGGAGTGAGGAATAAGGCAGAGGAGGTTTAGACCCACCTCAAATTTTCATTCTAGTGGGGAAGACACAGGTAAGAAAACAACCCATGTGGTTTGAAATGACACGTTTTTATGAAGGAAGTAATCACTGTGATCTGAGAAAAAGTAATAGGATTTCTATAATGTCACGACAGAGATGTTGTGAAGAGAAGTCTCCCGGATGAGAGGGAAGGACCACACTTACATGTGGCAGAAAGACATGTATTTAGAGTGTAGTTAGGGATTATGTTGTTTTAGTGAAGTGGTGGTTATCTCGTCTCCAAGATACATTATTTCGCTAGCCCTAGGCTAGATGTCCAGTAGCAGGCATGCTTTACCTCTTGGTGAGCTAGTCCTAAGTCCAATCAGGGAGCTGATGGTTCCTGCCAATGTATGCATGCCATTATTGTACACTTAGGGTTATTGTGTCATACTGGTGGTTGTTGTGGTTCAGAAGTGTACTGGCGGGTTTGGACTGTTGGTTGCTTCTCTCCTTTGGAAGCTTGCTTGGCTGTTACAAAAAACCACAACATATCAAAATTGTGGGCATTGTGGATACCAGTCTCAATGGATATATCTACAACACACACATACACCCCCCCCCCACGAC